TATTTATTTATTTGACAGAGACACAGCGAAAGAGGGAACACAAGCAGAGGGAGTGGGAGAGGGAGAAACAGGCCTCCCACAGAGCAGGGAGCCCGATGCGGGGCTCGATCCCAGGACCCTGGGATCATGACCTGAGCTGAAGGCAGATGCTTAACAACTGAGCCACCCAGGCGCCCTGGCCTCCTTGACTTTTGTACTTGGATCAGGGGTGTGATAGGATCTCTGTTCCTCTGTTCTGGCATGAGCCAGCTGGAGGACTTGCCTGTGCTCCTTCCGCCCCTCAGCCCCAGGCCTGATGGCAAAGGCCAGGCTGCTACACCAGACCTCACCTCATTCCAGTGAGCTACGGAGATACTGGTCACCCAGAAACTAGCTTAAAAAGGGAATAAAAATTAAAATACAGTTCAATACAAAATGTCCATGCTCATTGTAACCAACAAAATGGAAATCACATAAAGCATTCCCAGCTTCGCGGCCCTTACTCTCACCTGCCTTTGTTCTGAGAGTTTGAGACCTCTCTCCAACCCATTTAGACTCTGCAAATGTAACTGGCCCTCCCTCCTCCTCAACTCAATAGCCACCCTCCTTATTCCAGTAATTTATTTTTATTTTTATTTTTTTAAGGTTTTATTTATTTGAGAGAGAGAGAATGAGAGACAGAGAGCATGAGGGAGGAGGGTCAGAGGGAGAAGCAGACTCCGTGCTGAGCAGGGAGCCCGATGTGGGACTCGATCCCGGGACTCCAGGATCATGACCTGAGCCGAAGGCAGTCGCTTAACCAACTGAGCCACCCAGGCGCCCTCCAGTAATTTCCACACTCACCCTGTCCCAGTGTCTAGGCCTCCTCTCATAAGAACCCCACTCTCTTCAAAAGGTTTAATAAATAAACCTGTAGAAGACTTTCAGATAAACTAACTCCATAAAAATTGTGCTTATCATCTGGAAATGGGAATTTAAAGTCTCTCTCTCCTTAGGCACTATTACGGAATCCAGTTAAAAACCTAGTATGTGTGGTAATTAACTCCCCTGAGCTGGATGATAAAAACATACTGTGACCAGAAAACAATAGTCAGCAGGGAACACTTTGCAGGCTGATATAAAAGCTGACTCTGGGTCATTTACTCTGCATCAGGTGATAAGACAGTATGCATGCTATTTCATCAACACAATTCTAGGAATCAGGTGCGGTTACCCTCCTCCCAGCTCAGAGGAGCAAAGGAAGCTGAGACAGATTCAATGCCAGAGGCTCAGCCAAGGCCAGGACCTGGTGTGAGGGGCTGCAGCTGTGTCTGAAAACCTCGGCTGCCTTTACAGCCGAGCAGCTCAAATGCTGCTGCCCGTCATTTCGGTGGGGATATTTCACTATTCTCACCTAAGTCACCAAGGGGGAAACCTGCCGGTGCAAAAGGAAGAACCGTGACTAGCCCACACACAAGGCGGGGGCGGGGTTGTAGAATTTATTTTAGTTTTTTCATTAGCGTCAAAGCTGTTTACTGCGTGACCCGCTGTTCTAGCCTTGAACCTGCGGCACTCTGACGAGGAAGATCCCCCAGCTTCCACAAAACAAAGCTGGAACTGCAGCCCAACCCAGTGCACACAGTACTGGCTTATGAGTCAGAGCCCTAGGCATGCCACTCACTGGCTGAGGGGCCTCCGGCACTTCACATCCGTGGGCCTCTGTTTCCCGCTTCTATCTGTAAGAAGAACAGGTTGATGCTTATGGTCTCTGAGGGCGTGTGCAGAGTCAGTGATTCTCTGAAGAGGCTAGGTCTGTACGGAAGCGGTGACTGGGTTTGCTGGGCTGCCGAGGCCTAGATGCAACACGTGTGGTCAGGTCTGGCTAATTAGGTGCCAGGAAATTCCCCAACCAGTAGTTCTTCTCCGCCCTCCTCAATCTTCCCTGGAGACAAGGCACTGTTTTGCTGGTAGGATGTGGGGCTTAAGGTCTGGGGGAAGACCGAGAACTCACTGCTCTAAAGCACTCCAGTGACCTGGGCTGGCTACGGCCAAGCCTGGGGCACACTCCTAGGCTGGTCTGGGTGGTGGGAGAAGAGGCGGTATCGTTTCTCTCAGACTCAGGCAATCTTACCCTCCCTTCGGAGAGAACAGCAACTGGATTAAGTAGCAGCAGCTGTCTAAGGGATGGCTTGGAGCCCGACTTCCCAGATCCTCCCAGGCACCTGTGTGTGGCTACAAGGCCCTACAAGGCCCCACCTCCAGCCTCTAGCGTCTGCGTTAAAACACACCAACAAACCATCTGGGGGAGTCTAAGCCTCCAGCTTCAAACATACCCTGCGTGCACCTTGGGGCGGGGGGCCTTGGCACCTCCAGATTTTGAGGATCCTCACTCTTGGCTCTGCTTGCCACCCTGGGATTCAGCCAGCACTAAGACTGGGAATAAAAATCAGTGGATTTCACAGAGGATTACATGTAAACTTTGAGAAAATGAATCAGAACACTTTAATTATCAGAAGAAACTTTTTTTTTTAAGATTTTATTTTTAAGTAATCTCTACACCCAATAAGGAGCTTGAACTTACAACCAGAGATCAAGAGTAGCATGCTCCACCGACTGAGCCAGCCAGGCTCCCCAGAAGAAACGTCTCTTATCTTTTTCAATGTGTTATTTTCCCCCTAATTTCTTGAACAAGACCTGAATCCAAGAAAGTCAGTGTATACTTGAACAATGGTACTTTTTTAAACCGGAAAATGACACCACAGGGATATTAAAAGATTACAAATGGATCTTTCATTCCAGAGCTGACATGAAAGAATATAAACATGGGTCTGTGAGCAAATGAGTAAAAACTCATTGCAAAAAACTTCAGTTTGACACAAACTAGCTTAAAATGAACCCCCAAAGTAAATACCAAATGTGGAAAATGACAAAGTTCAACTTGTTTTGAAATAGGCAATAAATGAACTAGAGAACTCTAACAAAGAAGTATATTTAAAAAGTGACTCACCATGCAATGAACTTGTAATACAGAAATACAGTGCACAACTGCGCATCCTTTGTAGTGTATGAAGCTCTGTTTAGACACAGCTATTCCGACTGTGGTCTCAGGGAGGCACACATAACCACGAGAGGCAGAACACATCTGCATGAGCTGGGCCACTTTCACACTCAGCTCCCCTACTTCAGATAACCCTGCTGATGGCAATAATCTGTAATCGGAGGCAAAGGGCCTCTTGGATAAAGAACTGGAGGCTCTGGCCCAAGGCCCAAATCAACACTTGTGGCCCTGGCCTGCTTCCCTGCCCCTGGACAGCAGCCCAAATCTGTGGCTCCTCCACTGGGAGGCCCAGTCCACTTGGCCGTGTGAGCCCCCCCCAGGCCTTCAGGGCCTAACCTCCACCAGGAGTGCCTGAGAGAACTGCATACACGTTAGTCTCCAAAGCTAATGTGGAAGCGGAGAAAGGAACTGGGCCCTCCCCCCAGACCAATTCTCACATACGTCTGGAAAATAAACTCTAGATGTAGGAATAACTCTTTTAAAGAGTTCAAGAACCCTGAATTCTGGCTGTGCCTCTGAAAACTGGGTGACGTTCCTGTTTTCCCCTGCCTCATTTTGCTCATCATCAAAATAGTGAGAATAGTGAGAGTAAATAACCCGTAAGGGGATAAGGGAGATAAAAGTATATTAAAGCATCCATCCCAGTACATTGCAGCATGAATGAGTGATGTAAGGAAAAGGCTGTTTAACAACTAGGCAGTATAGAATCATTGTCATTTGCATGAAACTCCCTCAGAAGGGGCTTTCACTCTTGGAAAAAGAGGTTTAAAGGGAGATGGGTTCATCTGCGGATTTTTAAGCCACAGCTGCCACCAAGGCAGCTTGCTCCATGTCAAGCACAGAACGTCACTTTCAAATAGGTGATCTTTTTAATCCTCACCCCATGAAGAGGCACTACAGTTACAGGTTATACCCATTTTACAGATGAGAAAGCTGAGCTCAAAAAGGTTAAGTAACTTGCCCAAAGTCAAACAGGAGGTAGGTGGTGAGGCTGGATACACCCGGGTAGTGTGACCCCAGCGCCCAGCCTCTCAGCCACTGTTATTTTTGTTCTGCCAGATGGCTGACGAGGTCTTCAGGGGAAGGAACGACCCAGGAGGCTCTGAAACCTCTCGGAGCCTGCTATCCGCTTCTGCGGGTTTCGGAAGGCGCAGGGATTGCAAGTCAGGTCTCCCAAGCCAGCCTCGGCGCGCTCAGCACTCCACGGCCCCGCGGGGAGTTAGAGCAATTACTCACCACGCTGAAGGGCAGCGCCCACAGACCTCAAATCGGGATGGGGCAGGCTAAGATGTGCCCACCCTAACCCCTTCACGGCCTTTCGAAAGGGCGGGCGTAGCTCTGCTCTTCCTGCTGCGAAGGTGCTCACCAGGACCAGGCGGTGTTCACCCACAGGACGAGAGCTTGGGAGGGGATATCCTGGCCCAGGTCGCAGGGCGACATCCCCAGCACAGGTCAGCCCCCGGGGCTCAGACGTGGCCGAAGCTTCGCACAACGCCAGGCCCTAAGTGGACCTGCGGGCTCGGGTCCCAGCGGCACCCTGGCTCTGACGGCTCGCCCACCCGCCCGCTCCCACCGCAGCGCGAACCGGGCCTCCCGATCTACGTACCTGGCTGCTCACGGCGGGCCACCTAGGTCACTGCCGCGACTCCCGGGAGAATGCGCTCCCCAGCCGGGAAAGAGCCAATCCACCGCCGAGCCTCGGTGAGAGCTCCGGCGAGAGCCTTCCAAAATCGAACGCGGAGACTCTGTGAGCCAATCATCAGCAACAGAGGGGCGAGGGGCGTGCCGAGGCTCCGCCCCCTTCCCTCCGCCGGCTTCGAAACCCGAGTGCGAAGATTCCTCGGGTCCAATCAGCAGCGGAGCAGCGGCGAGGGGCGTGTCCGCCGGGGCCCCTTCCCTCCGCCCTGGGCCACCCTAGCACGGCGCCGGGAGGCGCCCCCTTCATTGACGTCAGTGGCCTGGGAGAGCGCGGTTTTGCTGGCGCGGGAGCGGGGCGGGGCCGCATTCCAGCCTCGGGGTGCGTCGGCGGCAGGCGGATACACGTGACGCGTGCCCCCTCTCCTGCGCCCTAGGCCGGCGCGCATCGCGCCGCGCACCCTGCAACGTGTGGCCCTCTGCAAATCAGCAGTTCCCTTAACTTCACTTCCCAGACGGACCACTTGTCTTCTGGCTCCAGCTCTGAGGGAAAGGAAGGGATGGTGAGATCTTGGGCTTTAAAGCTAGAGTGCCGTGGGTTCAAATCTTAAACCGTCTGTGCAACCTTGGGCCAGTTACCTAAATGAGCAGTATTAGGAAGGTTTTATACATTCACTGGACAGTGGTCCATTAGGGACCCACCCTGTCCAAGTTCCTTAACAGGCAGTGAACTGGAGACTTCTATAAGCCTGTGCCCTGGGGGAATTTACAGCCTAGTAAGGAAGGCAGACGTTAAAGAGCTGAAAACATTCGGTAGTGGTTACAATTGTGATAAACATTATAAAAGGGTCAAACAGGAGGAAACAACTCCCTGTAGGAGGTCCTGGGAGGTAGAAGAAGAAACATTTAAGCTAAGAAAGGAAGAAGTTGAAGTTGGTCAAATGAAGAGGAGTGGGTCTGGGAAGAGTGTTTAAGGAGGAGAGAACGGCATGTGCGGAGTCTAGGAGGTAGCTTGACTCAGGAGGACTTGATATGAGACCTGGAGCAAGGCTAGCAAGGGGTAGAGTGGTGAGAAAGCAGAAGGCAGAGGCGGACGGTGAAAAAGTTTCCATTGGACTCTCTGAGGGGAATAGCATTATATATATCGTTTAACAGATATTTTATAGCACTTACCATGTGCCCGTAATGCCAGTCAGCACTTTACAAATATTAGCTCATTCCATCCTCATGAAAAATTTGTGTTTTTAGAAGGTCACTTTGGTCGCAGCTTGGAACTTGTATTAGAGGGTTTGGGAGTGGATGCAGTGGCCAAAGGGTTCTTCTTCTTTTTTGTTTTTAGGTTTATTTATTTATGAGGGGGGGAGTGGGCAGAAGGAGAGGGAGAGAGAGAATCTCAAGCAGACTCCCCGCTGAGTGCAGAGCCAACGCTGGGCTCCATCCCATGACCCTGAGATCACGACCTGAGCCAAAATCAGTAGTCGGATGCTTAACCGACTGAGCTACCCAGGTGCCCCCAATAGGTTCTTGATAAATGCTTGGTTAGTTTTTTGGAAGATGAGGAGTTGTTTGCACACTGGTTCAAAAATGGTCAGGAAGGTGCCTGGGAATAGGCAGCTAGGTCTCCCGACTTCTATTTCACTTCAGAGCCGACCTTCATGGTCATTTAAGTGTGATCTCTCCTCTGTAAAAGTTCCGAGGGGAAAGAGTAAAAGCCAGCATATAAGGATTTGTGGGTCCCTTTCTGCAAAGTGGAAGGAATGTTTGGGAGCTGTTCTTCCTCATCCTGTGGTCTCTAGTTCCTCTTTCCGTCCAGCACAAAAACATCATCAGCAAGTGCTTTGCTGTTTTAAAGGGTTTTAACAATGGTTTCTTTTTGCTTTTCCTGAAGACCCAGGGAAATAGCAAAAAGAATAAAGAAGTCATCAGTGTGCGTCTCCAATAGAAGGCACTCATTGCTGCAAAGCCTTTCAGCCAACTGCTTGGCTCAAAAGAGGAGTGTGTGGAGTTCTAAACAGGGAGGCTGGGCTTGAACCAGGGACGCCTTGTTCCCCGGTCTCACAAATAGGAAGGCCAAACTCTTGGCATATCAGTGCTTGGAGAGCCTAGGACTTCTGATGCCAGGAGCTCAGATGAGCATACCAGGGTGGGAATTGGGAACCTGTGGTTTCTGGGTCAGATGTGACTAAGGCTGGGTGGAGAACATCTGGTGTCTTCCCACATTTTTGCAGGCGTGTGACCATGTGCTTACCACACAATGGAAACGTTTCTGTTGTTACAGCTTTATGATTCCGTATGTCTGATGAGAAGACAGGGTACTTCCATCATGCAGGAGTGGAGGATTTGGGATCAACCCCCCAACAGGAAGGACCCTGTTTGGAAGAGAAGGTCAACTCTGAGGAATGGAGCCCTGCTGTAATTCAGGCCAAGACTTGGTTTTACCAGGGATCACATTATGGTGAGGTGAGTGAGGAATACTCCTTGGGTGCAATACTTAAAGGGACACCAAAACAAAAGCAAAAACAAAAACAAAAACCCAGTAATCAAGATAAATATTTTAATGTAATATTTTTTAAAAACCAAAATTAATGTAAAACATCCACGGTGAACAAAATATCAACACTTAAAATAAAGACAGCTTGTTGTTTGTTTTATGACCTCGTGTCATTTTGCAACAGGAATAGTCATTTCCTATCAGCCCATGGTTCCCACATAGGTCGCCATTATGCTCCCTGCCAATTAGCTTTATGATGACTGAAAATAGTGTGTGAATCGATTGGGCAACACAAAGCTTTATGTATGGTCATGTTTTTTGATTGTGGGCCTTTCGTCTACTTTTTCCATTTAATTCAGAGAATATTTTGATAGGTGTGTAGAGGAGTGCACCTATTTCCTTTTGCCTTGGGCGCCAGGATGGCTCAGCAGAGTGCTAATTTCTAGGGGAGTAAAGTCTAGGAAAGGGGTTCCAGCTGTTCAACCTTAGGCAAATAATCTAACCTCTCGCTTTCCTAGTTTCTCATCTATAAAGTGGAAATAATCATAATCATACCTATTGTGAGGTGCAATAGGCATAGTGCTCAATAGAAACCTTGCTGTAGACACCAAATCAGCATTTGACTCCTTCGCTCTCTGTCCTGCAGGAATTGCTCAAGCAGCTCTTGTAAATGGTTCCCCGGTGGACTTGAGGTTTGTTCCAGTGGGTTTGTTGTTGCTCTCTGTCCTGTTCTGGGGAGAGCAGAGAGAACTTTCACACTCAGCTGACAAGCAATAGTGTGACTCTTGAGTCAGCTCTGTTTTTCTTGATAAATGCTCTTGGTAATTCTAAACTTTTTAAAAAGCACCCTTCTGCTTAGGACATTACACAAGACAACTTACTACAGCCCTCTTCTCTGGACTTAGCAACTGAGAAGAGAGCAAAGCCCTACAGGCAAACGGTACATTATAGAAACACTACAAAACAAAACAATGCAAAACAAAAAAACCCACACCTAATCTGACTCGTGTACATTAGAATTAAACGTCAATTTTGTATTAATCTGCTCAGGTTGCCATAACAAAATAGCACAGGCTGGGTGGCTTAACAAGAGAAATTTGTGCTCTCACAGCTGTGCAGGCGAGAAGTCCAAGATCAAGGTGCCAGCGCATCTGGTTTCTGGTGAGAGCTCTCTTCCCTGGTTGCGGACGGCCACCTGCTCACCGTGTCCTTATATGGTGAAGAAAGAGAGGGAGCTTTCTGGTGTCTCTTCTTATAAGGGCACTAATCCTATCAGATCGGTGCTGCACTCTTATGGACCTCTCACTTAACCTTAATGACTTCCTTACTCCAAATACAGTTATATTGGAGGGTAGAGCTTCAACATGTGAATTTTGGGGGACACAATTCAGTCCATAGCAAGTATGAACTCATGGTTTTTAACATACAGATAAGTAGATATAGAAATAGATAAGTTGTAAATGTATGCATATGTTTAAATGTGTATGTGTACGTATATACATGTGTATATATCCACACAAACACATGCAAACACACACGTTCTCCAGCTGTGTCTTCTGAGAGGGCCTAGAAGTGATGATACCCCAATAGGAATAAGCACATTTACAATCCATATACCGAGTTCTCAATATCATTCTCCACAAAAGGAACCATGGCTTCTTGGAGAAATGGTTGAGAAAGTTCAGGATGATTCTAGAACATCTTGTCCTGGAAAGTAAGGAAGTACTCAAAGAATGATGGAAACACATCAAAAGGACTAGGAGTCCATTTATAAGGGCTCCCATTAGCAAGTGCAAAGCATCAAAATAAATCATAACAGTAACAGATTATAACCCAGTGGGTGAAATAATACCTAAGTCCATAACAATATAAATAAGTGAATAAATAGGTAAACAGAGGAGAAGAAAAAGGCCTTTCTTACAGTAGCATACCAACCAATAAGTGTAGACGGAATGAAGCAGCTAGAAAATCATTAATGGCTACTAAAACAGCCCTGTGGCCAATTATAAAAACAAGGCTTGTAGTAGCTTTGCTTATTTTTTCTGTTTGTTGTATATACAGGGTGTTTTTGTACATACTAACCTTTTTCTTTTTCTCTCTTCATGTTTTCATTTCATATGTAAGTTTATATGTAAGTTGTTGGAAGTTAATGTCACAAGTTTAGTGTTTAGTTAACAGTGTATTCCGAGGGACTCTGAAAAAATCTGAGAAGTTTTTTGTGTTTTTTTGTTTGTTTGTTTTTCTTTCTGAGCAGTATTTAATGCAGACCGTTGGGACTGTGTATCTTCTTATTTTGGAGAGAGGGAATGAGAATGTCATGTCCCAGAAGGAGAGCTGTAGCTCATTAGGTGGTAATATTGAGTTGTTTCATTGTCGTATGGAAGTCCAAATGTATATAGAGGGTTGCATATGGAAGTTGAGTCTCCAAAGAAGTAGACTGTACCAGTTATCTCTGTGATCACGGAGCCGAGTCCTGCAAATATTTCTCCTTTTCCAGCAGGCACAATGCTCAGCCTTGTCAGTGGAGGGAGCCGGCAAGCCGCCGTGGGAAGAAGGGTTTCTCTCCTTGGTTCTGGTGTGTCCTCTCACCAGGCTCCCGCAGCTTGCCAGGCTTCTCCAGGGCCTGCTCCTGGAGCTCAGGTGACTTCTCAGGCACCAGGTCCACCGCGCACCGCACCCCCCGCCCCCCCCCCCCCCCCCCCCCCCCGCCCTGTGTAGGCTCCCGCGGTGTGGGCGGCTTGTTCAGCGCCTGGGTCCTCCAGTGCTGGGCGGCCAGTAACACACACGGGCTGGTAGCTTCCCTCGGCCCCTTGGGTGGCTTTGCAGTAATCTTTTTTTTTTTTTTAAAGATTTTAAAAGATTATTTATTTGAGAGAGAGTGAGCATGAGTGGGGGGGAGGGGCAGAGGGAGTGAATCTTCAAGCAGACTCCCTGCTGAGCTCGGAGCCCCACCTGGGGCAGGGGATCCCATGACCCATGAGATCATGACCTGAGCCGAAACCGAGTTGGACATTTAACCGACTGAGCCACCCAGGCGCTCCATTTTGCTATAACTTTTGATGTCCATGCAGTAGCACCCCAGATGGCTGATTTCCGGCAAGTTCTACAGGGACAGCACCTCACTGACTTCTTCCCCATTTACTGAGCCACAGCTATGTCTCCTCTCTAAGGAGATCTGAATCTTGGCCCTGGTAGGAGGGAGAGGGGCGGAGAGCTCTTCTTAAGGGCCTATCTCAGCCCTAGGAGTAGTGGCTGTTGCTTAGGTCTTCTTTTCCTATATTCTTTAGAGTTCTCTTTAACTTCTTGTTAGCTAATGCCTCAGCACTCCATTAGAGTAAATAATAATTCCTTATATTGAGGTTTCCCTATGCAAATTACTGTGTGGTTTCTGTCTCGAGATTGGACTCTGGCTGATCCAGTGGAGGATAGCGAGACTGGTAATGTGGTGAGGATAAAGAACCTCAAGTGAGCAAAACTCACGTGAGAGCAGGCTTTTGTCTTGCAATCCAGTGATACCCTGAAACCAGTGAGCTGGGTGTCCAAGCTCTTTCAGAAGACAGTATTGATAATAAAGCTAACACATATGAGCTCTAGGCACTTTGCATCTCATTGAATCCCCACAACAGCGCAGTGATACTGAACCATTGCTGTTCATCTCATTATGCCAATGAAGAAGCTGAGGTTAGAGACTTGCACGATATCAACGTCTTCCAGCTACAGCTGCTGCATAACAAATCACCCCAAAACTTAGTGGCATAAATGACCATTTTATTATGCTCATGGATTCTGTGGGTCAGGATGTTTTATTTATTTTTTAAGAGATTTTATCTATTTGGCAGAGGAGGGGCAGAGGGAGAGGGACTCTAAAGTAGACTCCACATTGAGCACAGAGCTGGACGTGGGACCTCAGGTCTCACGACCCTGAGATCATGACCTGAGCTGAAATTAAGAGTCGGAGGCTTAACTGACTGAACCACCCAGGTACCCCAGGTCAGGATGTTTTAAAATGTCAGGATTTTGGTTTTATTTAGGAACTGTGAGGCCAACAGATCAGATGATGGCTGCCATTGAAAAGATAACTTGGGGGCGCCTGGGGGGCTCAGTCAGTTAAGCATCTGCCTTCGGCTCAGGTCATGATCCTGGAGTCCTGGGATCGAGTCCCACATCGGGCTCCCTGCTCAGCAGGGAGTCTGCTTCTCCCTCTGACCCTCCGCCCTCTTGTGCTCTCTCTCTCTCACTCTCTCTCTCAAATAAATAAAATAAAATCTTTAAAAAAGAAAAGAAAAGAAAAGATGTTACTCACAGTTCCCCAGAGGAAGGGACATGCCATACCACACATGGCCACACTGGCAAGCACCAGGGTCAGTCAGGAGGCAGAAGGGGCAAAAGCATGGACATGAGCTTTTATTATAGTTTTTGTGGGAAGAAATGGGTGAAACAAAGTATGCAGCTAGGCAAGTTTAGGATTGGCTAGTTTGAATAATTCCAGCAGGCTCTGGGGCATAGGGACTGTCTCCAGTTGTCTGATACCTTTCCCTGGGATGATTAGGGCAGGGGAATATTGCCTCCTGGAGTGTAAGAGCCCAAATAAAGGAGGTGGTTTGGAGTTGGGCTCAGGATTGGTTGGTTTGCATGTCAAAGGCATACTCTCAGTCACATTCTTTGCTACCTTTAGGAATTAGCTAAATCTGGGAGGGGCAGTCCCTCCCTGGATCTGCAAGGTCCCAAGATGTCAAAACAACACAAAACAACAGAAAATAGAAAGCATGAATGATACACAGGAATTGAGAGAGTGCACAGTGGGAGTGGCTTGTCTCTGCCCTTTGATGTCAGAACTCCGGCTGGAAGTCTTGAACGCACAGGTTGCTTTGACAGCTGGGGGTTGGAATCATTTGAAAGCTCATTTCCTATGTCCGGTGCCTAGGCTGGGAGAACTTGAAGGCCAAGGCTGCTGACTGGAGTGCTTCGGTGGTTTCTCAACGTGACCCGGAACAGAGACTTCTTCCATGGTGGCTCAGGGCTGCAAGTGTGAGTTCTAGTGACCAAGGCAAGAGTGGCTTTGTCTTTTGGACAGAACTTAGAAGTCATACAGTGTGGTTCCTGCCATCCTGTTTGTTATAACTGAGTCACAAGCTTACCCAGATTCAGGGGAAGGGGACATAGATGCAAGCATTCCAGTGCTGATAAGAAACAAATCTGTTTAAGATAGCTCAGGTGAAGAAGTACGGGGGGTGTTGTTACTGGAAAGCAACGGTGAGTTCACAGAAATGAAGTGTAGCAGAACAACCGGAAGCAAGTCACAGGCAGCTGTCCTCTCTCACCATCTTTTGTCCCTGTTTAGCTAGCTGCCTGTGATGGTTAATTTTATGTGTCAGTTTGACTGGGCCACAGAGTGCCCAGAGATTTGTTCAGATATTATTCTGGGTGTGTCTGTGAGGGTGTTTTTGGATTAGATTAACCTCTGAATTGGTAGACCAAGTAAAACAGATTGCCCTCCCTAATGTAGGTGGGCCTTGTCTAATCAGTTAAAGGCCTATATAGTACAAAAAGGCTGACCCTCCCACGAGTAAGAAGGACCTCCTTTTGCTGACTATTTGAGTGGAGACATTGTTGTATTGTGTGTGTGTTTTAGAGAGAGCATGTGTGCATGCATGCAAGTGGGGATGGGGGCAAGTGTGGGGGAGAGTCTTAAGCAGGCTCCATGCTCAGCGCAGAGCCTGACGTGGGGCTCGATCTCACAACCCTGAGATCATGACCTGAGCCGAAATCAAGAGTCAGAAGCTTAACCGACTGAGCCACCCAGGTGCCCTGAGACATTGATCACCCCCACCTCCTTCTTCAGACTCTAACTGAAACACTGGCTCTTCCTGGGTCTTGAGCCTTCAGCCTTTAGACTAAACTATGCCATGGCTCTCCTAGGTCTCCACCTTGCCAACTGCACATCTTGGGACTTAACAGCCTCCATGATTACATTTTCTTATAGTAAATCTATATGTATATATCTATCCATCCTGTTTCTTTAGACAACCCTAACACACTGCCCTTTTATCTGCAGATCAACTTCCTCTGCCAGCTCAGGCTTTCTACTCCTAAATTTGCCTCATGCACTGGCTTTGGTTACTCCACCACTAACTCCATTTAGGAACGACCATTTGGCCAAATTCCAAAAGAAGGAATCTGATAGGCCCAGTTTGGGTCAGAAGAGGAGATGGGAAAGTAGGGGCAGAGCTTTATAGTATAAATATACCATCTATATCTAGAGCCACCACTCCAACAGGGGCTGTGGGTATGGGGAGAGGGCTGCCATAGGAGAGGCAGGCAGCCTCCCAAAGCCCTGAATATTCTTGCTGCTTCTCTTGATCCTTGAATGCCATGATGTTCGCTATTTTTTTTTTAAGATTTTATTTATTTGACAGAGAGAGACACAGTGAGAGAGGGAACACAAGCAGGGGGAGTGGGAGAGGGAGAAGCAGGCTTCCCACTGAGTGGGGAGCCCAATGTGGGGCTCGATCCCAGGACCCTGAGATCATGACCTGATCCGAAGGCAGACGCTTAACAACTGAGCCACCCAGGTGCCCCGATGTTTGCTATTTTGGCATCTTCCTGATGGGTCAGGACAAGGTTCTTCTTGGTCTCTAGTGGTTTCTGTGATCTTTGATCTCTTTCAGTCATGGCAGTCATGTCCCACTCTGTCTTGGTTGGTGGGGGAGCCGGGGAAACCAGAGTTGGAGAAAATCTTCATAATTTGCCACATCTGTAGGAGGCCCCAGGAGTAATGGGAGCTGGAGACCAAGTGGTAGAGGAGGGGAGACCACATTTGCTTTTGCTCTGTGGTTTCAGTGAATAATGTCTTATAAAGAGTCCGGTGAGACTAGACCTAAGGGGCAAGTTCATGGTTAAAGTAGACTCAGGGAATCTCAGACAGTTGTAGTGTTTCCAGTGGTCCAGAAATCTAAATTTAGTTCCTAGCTTAATCTTTCTGAATCTTATTTTCCTCAACTGTCAAGTGGAGACAATGAATTACCTATCTGCCAAGGTTGTTGCAAAGGCCAAGGAGGAGATGCAGGTGAACACTCAGCACAAAACATCATCTGATGGAGACTCTCGGCTCTAGGCCAAGCCTTGGACCTTACTCCTCTTGCTTTAAAGCTCCAGCCGTGGGTAGGCTAGAGAGTTCAGGGGACAAATCCCCCTTTCCTGGAGACCCTTCACATAGCAGGGTCAGAAATAGAAACAGCATACACAGTCAGCCTCCCCCAAGTGCAGATCTTGGGGCCTGTGACAGCCACAGCCACTCTCATGGCCCCATGCCTGGCCCCCTACATGCTGACCATCTCTGCAGCATGGGGATCATTTTCTTTGTCACTGCTCAGGGGCAATCCTCTGATGTCTTGTGACCTCCAAGATCAAGGCTGAAGTCTGAGATATATGCACTGCTTAAAGGCCTGGATTTGGAGATCAAATATTTGAATTTCATTCTCCATTAGATTGACATTAGATAAGTCACATAAGCTCTCTGTGCCTCAGTTTCCTCCTTTTAGAGTGGAGGTGGTTTTAATGGCCCCACCTCACAGAGCTGTTGCGGGAACTAAGTGAGACAAGAGTGGAAAGCACCTGGCATGGTGCCTGGCACGTGGTGAATGCTTTGCAAACGTTGGTTACTACTATTGAGCCACTTCCACTTTTATCTGAGGCTGACTGGCAGAGTGGTGGTGTTTGATTCCGTCCATCCTGGCTCAGAGTGTCCATCTTTATAGGTGAGGCCCCTCCTTTCCCAGGAATACGGTCTGCTGGTGTCTGCACATCCCCATCATAGTCCCAGTAGGAGGTCATCTTCAGCACCTCATGGGCAGCCAATTAATGGTGAAGTCTCATGGGCATCTACCTTGGTCACCCATGGTTACTTAGCGTTAGGGACCCGGCCTTCCCAGCCAGTGTTCTGGGTGGCTTCACACCCAGATAAGCCTCACAGGGTACCTGTGGCTTCAGGTCTGGTCCTGGCCAGCTTCTCCTGGGGAGTGAGGTCTGAGCTTTGTCAGAGTCAAACACCTTTACCACTTCATGCCCAGCCTGTGGCCCCTTGCCTCTGTCTGCCCAAGGGGCCCAGAATCCAGGCCACTTCATAGCTCCAGTGAAGGCTAGGTACTCCTTGGAGGCTGGAGTAACAAACTGAAGAGCCATCCAGGTTCCTACCCAACTCCAACCTAGAGGGAACCCCACCCACCATTCCAGAGGTCCCTGTTCCCACAGCCTTGGGAACAGGCCTGGACAAGTGAGCCACTTGGCTGACAAACGAGAGTTCATGTGCAGAGCCCTCTGCCCCGAGTGAACACTGGATTGTGAGTCAGGAGACCTAAGTTCTAAACTCGGCACTCACATCATCAACCAGCTGTGTGACCTGGGGCAAGTCACTTACCTTCTCCAGGCTTTAGTTACCCCTTCATAAAAGCAGAAGCCTGGAGCAAATGATCTTTAAGGCCTCTTCCAACTCAGGTATAGGAGTAGCATAATGCCAGGTACGTACATAGTAGGTGTTCAGGAAATGTTTATTTAGTAATTTAACTCTAAGATTCAAGGCAAGATTCTGCAGGTCCCAACACCCATCTACTTCCTCACTGTGAGTTTTGCTTCTGCTGTTAGCTAATTTATGTCAAGTGCTGGCTCAGGGCCTGGCACATAATAGGTATTAAACCAATGTGAGTTGAGTCCATATATGCAGTAATTTACAGTAGCCCAGAGACTGAAGACAGAACTGACTGAACATCAGGGGTGGGTTGTGGGATCTCAGGGTGGCCACGCATTCCTCCTTGTTATAAGCTGTCTTCCCTTCTGGGCATGTGAAAGTCATTGCTTTGGGGTTTAGAGTACCCAGCAAGCATCACTACTTCACTACTTCTTGTTCCCTGAGCAACACAGGCCCTGCTTTTGCTCACACGGTTCCCTCTGCCTATAGCACCTGTCAGGGCTGTGATTTACCCTGCTTACAAGCTAATAAGCTAGCCTGCTGTTGTTTCATGAATGTGGGCAGAAGACACGGTTTCCTGAGTCGGACTCAAAGGATTTATCATTCTTGGCACAGCAAGCAGCATGAGCATTATCCTTATGTCTCTTTCCCTTGTTCCCTAGTTTCATGGGGGGCAAAGCAGAGGGGCCCAGGTAGATGGGTTACCCACGCAGGAGCTTTATGTCGCAGCTACGGAGTCCTGAGCTTGGAGCACCCACCCCTGTCCCTTCCTGCCCCCACCACTTTTATAGTAAGCAGCAAGCAAGCCTGCTCTTTGTCTGGGAGATGTTCCCTTATCCCACAACGTTGCTGCCTGCAGAACACAACGGTGAGCAGTGGTGGGAAGGCGAATGGGCGACCAGGGCTCTGCATTCTTAGCACACTCAGTGGTTAGAGCCAGAGCTGCTCAGGCCCCATGGTGGACTGCCTTGCCCAACAACGCCTAGCCCGGATCTCTGCTTGTCACAGTTCTATCCACTCTCCAGAGACACTTCAATCTGAAAGCTTTCCCAGCCCTCCCATCACACATACTTTCCCTTTTGGATTTCCTTGCATCCACCTCTTTCTTTTGTGCCCACAGCTGTCCCTCCACTACCAGAAAAAGCGTGAACACTGAGGGCGGGAGCTCGTGCTCCTTATTCCTACATTCCACACCCCGATTGTTTGCATCCCGCAGGTGCTTAGGTCTTATTTGTTGAGTTGGAGGAATCAAGATCTTCTTGCATGCTTATGCTTTTGCAGAGTCTCCTGGGACTGCCGCTTGGAATGTCTTCGGGATTCCAGAGGCTAAAAATATCTCCCCAAAGCCACCCCATTGGCTTCCTTGTAAGGAGCTGGACTTAGCTGTGCGGTTGAAGGTTTGTACCCACTAGGTGGCGCTCTACCCTTACGTCTCCAGATGCCTTTTTTAGGCGACAGAAGGACTCTCTTTTCTCCCTCTCAATGTTTATTTGGTTAGGTCCCCTACTCACAGAGGTAGTTTGTGTAGTATAACCCCGTCATCAGCCCAGCACCCAGATTCAGCCCTCAGGTGCCTGTCCTAGCTCCAGCCCTTCTCAAGATTGGCACCCTGAGGACATGGGGAATGTCCCGCCAGGGATTGATTGCTAAGGGATGCTGAGTTTAGAAAGGCCCCAGAATTGGGATCAGAAGACCTAGGTTTGAGTCTCTACACTGACTTTTGCCAGTTCTGTTTCTTTGGGCAAGTTATGTAACCTTTCTGGGTCCCTGTAACAGTGGCTGAGAATAAAATATGAGAAAGTATATATAAGCACTTTGAATATCACCTAGAGCCAGCCACACCTGGGCTCCTGTTTAAACTGTCACCCATCAGCTCTGTGAACATGGTCACCTTCCTTAACCCTCTGAGCCCTGGTTTCCCCACCAGCAAATCAGAGATAACATTGCCTAGAATATAGGGGCGCCTGGCTGGCTCAGTCGGTAGAGCATGTAACCCTTGATCTTGGGGTGAGTTCAAGCCCCACCTTGGGCATAGAGCTTACTTAAAAAAAACAACAATAAAAAACAGTGCCTAGAGCATAGTAAGCATTTAATTAATAATGATCACATATGTATTATGTATCCCTAGACCCTAAAATAGTGCCCAGTGCCTGACAGTTGCTTAATACCCATTTGCTGAATGAAAGGCTTTCACAGATGAGGAAACTGGGGCACAAAGTGGTTATGTGCGCGTGCGCACACACACCCCAGGTCCCAGCACGAGGGAGTGGTGAAGCTGTGATGCATAGCCAGGCAGTCTGCCTCCACGGTTTGCACCCTGAGTCTCAATACCATGCTATCTTACACAGATATGGATGTTATACATCACCTTTTATTCATTTACTTATTTATTTATTTAAGATTTTATTTATTTATCAGAGAGAGAGAGACAGAGGCAGGCAGAGGGAGAAGCAGGCTCCTTGCTCAGCAAGGAGCCCGATGTGGGACTCGATCCCAGGACTCTGGGATCATGACCTGAGCCCAAGGCAGACGCTTAACCGACTGAGCCACCCAGGCGTCCCACCTTTTATTCATTTAAAATAAGCGTTCAACCTTTCTCAGGTCCCTGCAGGTGGGGTTGTGCAGTGAGAGGCATTAGTCCCCTGAGACCCACATATACTTTCTCCTACAGGCGGGGGTGGGGCAGGCTGCTGGAAGAGGGACCTGCTCAGCCAGGCCAGGGGGCCAATGGACACATCACATGACCAGGAGATGAGGGGCTAGTTCTGCAGGTAGGGTTGGCTGGCGGACTGAAGCATGCATGGTCCCTAGGTATGAGGGCCCTCTCATTTTCGTTGCTGTTCCCACAGCCACTCGGTCATCCACTCTGTGGACACCTATTGAGTCTCCCCTGTGCCAGGCAGAGATAAAGGTGACAGCCAGCACTTGCAATGTACTGGACTCAGAAGTACCGCAGAACTCCTGGGTGCTCCCAGAGAGGGCCTAACGAGCCAGCAATCAACAGCTTAGGAGTCTGGACCCAAGGGAGGAGCGTATAAACTGGGCATTGAAGGATAAGTAGGAGATGGCCAGCCAAGTGGGGTCTGGGAATGAAGGGCATTCTGAGCTTATTTGGGGAATTTGAGAGTTTTGGTGGGGTTGGCATGTGGGGTAGGAGCATGGGTAAGGAAAGGAAGTGGAAAACAGGAAAAGTAAAAGTCAGTTGGAGCCGCTTTGTGAAATATGCCCGTAGAAGAGAGAGAGCTCTGTCCTGTGGTCAGTGAAGGAAGCAGCGCAACACCAGGTCTGTGTTTTAGAAAGATGTCACAGTGAACGAAGGTTGAATGGGATGGAGAGGCAAGAGACACCAGCTGCAGTTACCAGCTTCATGGGCTTAACCTCTCTAGACCTCATTTCTCCTCCTCAGTAAAAGGAGGGAAATAGGGTGCCTGGGTGGCTCAGTCGGTTAAGCGACTGCCTTCGGCTCAGGTCATGATCCCGGAGTCCTGGGATCGAGTCCCGCATCGGGCTCCCTGCTCGGCAGGGAGTCTGCTTCTCCCTCTGACCCTCCTCCCTCTCATGCTCTCTGTCTCTCATTTTCTCTCTCAAATAAATAAATAAAATCTTTAAAATATATATATATATATATATATATCAATTCTGGGGTGCCTGGGTGGCTCAGTCGGTTAAGCGACTGCCTTCGGCTCAGGTCATGATCCCGGAGTCCCGGGATCGAGTCCCGCATCGGGCTCCCTGCTCGGCGGGGAGTCTGCTTCTCCCTCTGGCCCTCCCCCCTCTCATGTGCGCTCTCTCTCTCTCATTCTTTCTGTCTCAAATAAATAAATAAAATCTTTAAAAAAAAAAAAAAGGAGGGAAATAATTCTATCTCTGAGGCTGTTTTGAGGCTTAAGTGGGCATACATGTAAAGGACAGTGTAAAGCGTCATTAGGTTTCATTAGAGGCTGTTTTGTCTAGTAGTTAAGGGCATGGTCTTTGCTGTCTCTTACCCCGGGCTTGGTGCTCGGGCCATGCTGGGTAGCACATTTTTAATCTAGGCAACACTGGATGGCAAGGACGTTGGAGAAATGAGGATGGACTAATAGGACTTGGCCTTGTGGTGTGTGCGAGGGGCATTGGGGTCTCTGGTGGGGGACAGCCCCTTTCTCTGATGTCTGAGAGCCTTTGGACCAGAGAAGTGTGAGGTGGACATAGTCCAGATGTTCAGGTGAGAATGGATGTCAGCTTAAGACCAGCGCTGCTCTCCTCCAGGGCCAGGAAAAGGCCAGGAGGCCCCGGGTGGACCCTAGGGCAGGAGAAAGTAGAAAGAAAGGGGCCCAGCGAGAGGCCGAGAGAACGCTCCAGAAGACAGCTTTCCCCTCCGAGGCTGGACGGGAGCCAGGGAGGCAGGGCAGGCAGGATGGCCCCAGATGTGCCAAACTTGGCCCGGGCGGCCAGAGCGGAAGGCCCGCGGTCGGCCCGGAGGGGGCTGGCGGGGGCGTGCCCTCTGCCGCGCCCCGGGGAGGAAGGAATCCGAGCTGGGAGTCTGGCGCCGGCAGGAAAGGGGGGCCGGCGTGGTGAGCGAGGCCCAAAAGAGATGGCAGAAGGCCGGGAGAAGCGAGTGGGGGTGGAGACGGGGAGGGGAAGCCAAAGGGCGGGTAGGAGTGGTGGAGACGGGGAGAGAAAGAGAGGAGGGCTGGAGGGAGGAGAGAGGGGAGGAAGGGTGGGGAGAAGCGGAGAGGAAGCGCGAGGAGGCCTCGGAGGGACGCGAGGAGGCCGCCGCCGGCGCAGCGGGCACGTCGGCCGGGCCACCCCCGCGAGCCGGGCGCCGCCATTCCGCTACTCGGGGCGCCGCCGCCGCCGCCACCGCGCCCGGGGGCCATGCTCCCGCCGCCCCCGCGCCAGCCGCCGCCCCAGGCGCGCGCGGTCCGCGGGGCGGTGCGCCTGCACAGGGCCTTCCTGCGCGGCCCGCTGGGCGTGCTGCGGCTGCTGCAGCTGCTGGCTGGCGCCGCTTTCTGGATCACCATCGCCACGAGCAGGTACCAGGGCCCCGTGCACTTCGCGCTCTTCGTGTCCGTGCTCTTCTGGCTGCTGACCCTGGGCCTCTACTTCCTCACGCTGCTGGGCAAGCACGAGCTGGTGCCCGTGCTGGGTTCGCGCTGGCTCGTGGTCAACGTGGCGCACGACCTGCTGGCGGCCGCGCTCTACGGCGCCGCGACGGGCATCATGATCTCGCAGACCCAGAGCCACAGCTACTGCAACCTCAAGGATTACCAGATGGCCTGCGCCTACCACGCCTTCCTGGCGGCCGCCGTCTGCGGAGGCCTCTGCCTCGGCCTCTACCTGCTCTCGGCCCTCTACGGCTGCTGCCGCCGCTACCAGGGGGAGCAGGAGGTGGCGTGAGCCGCCGCGCCGCGGGGCGGGGACCCTCCCGAGACCGGCGCCCCCGTCCTTCCTGCCGCCGCCGCCCCGCGCCCGTGCGCCCCGGCACCCACCCGTTGCCCTGCGCTCCCGCCCGCGCCCCGGCGCCCTGGCCCGCAGTTCCCGTCCGACTGCAGAGCCGCCGCCTAGAGTCCGGCCCGCCGCGCCGCCCGCGCCGGTTCCTGGCACCCGGGCAGGGCCGCCTCCGAGGAGCGGGCCCCCACACACCCTGGCTGTCCGAGGAGAAACCTCGCGCTTCCTCGCCCCCTTCCGTGCCGAGAGCGAGACGTGGACAGGCGCCGCGTAGATCCGGGGGAGGCTCCCAATTGGAACCAGCCTTCTGGCTGCGCCACTGCCCTCTCCCGCCCCGATGTCGGAAGAGCGCCCCTGGCCCCGGCCCCTCTTTCAGCCTCGAGCGCTGTGAAGGGCAGGCTCGCAGCCGCGGGGAGAGCTGAGGACAGGCCTCCACTGGTCTCAGGATGAGCGAAGAGTTTCATTTCAGCTCGGGGTTGTGAGGGCATCCTGCGCGCAGTCCGCTCTCTGATGTTGGGTGGGGCCCGTCTGCAAAGGTGAGGATGGATTGGAAAGGCCCGCGGGCTGCACCTTTGCACGTTTGGAGTCTTCTCTCGCCTCTGCCTGCTCCGCCTTTGTCCTCGGGGTTCTTGGAGGCCAGGCCCAAACGCACACTAGTTTCTCTGGTCTCACTTTCCCAGACTTCCTCTCACGGGCTTCTCCTCCACCACCCTCACCTCCCAATATCTTTTTGCCTTAGGGATCCCACAGGACCCTGAAGGAATGTCAAGGTGAGCCTCACCCCTTGCTCTTGGGAAAGCCAGAATAAGATTAGATCCCCATTTCCGGATTCCCATTAGAACCAC